TGCCTATCATAAGTCCTGCATTTTAAATATTCTTAATGTTTAATAATGTAATTATATATAGCTTAATCTTATCCTTACATAGTTATTCTTTAAATCGAGAAGCAAGAGCTATATTTTATGAATATATTATGTTTGTATTTGTATACCATATACATATATCATATGTATATAAATATCTCGAGGTGAGTGTATAATAATCTTTTTCTTATTTTCATTAGTTATTTCTAATTCGAATCATAAAATTTCATCGCGAACCGTCCAACAATCATAATTCGAATAGATCATTGAATTTAAACACAAAATGCAATTAGATGAAAATTCTATATCTATTCTTATTAATATAATTCTATAGAAGCTCAAATGTGCATATATACTACATAGTTTTTTAAAAAGCAGGCGGTGATTAAGTATAATTTATATAATAGTATTGCTAGCATTCAGAGGAAACGACAATATTCGTTTTTAATGATATCTTATATTCATATAATTGATATATCATATAATTGAATAAATTGCATATGAAAGTGTTATGTAGGCGAAGCTGTATAGAAAAAATTTACAAAATCATAAAAGTTCATAGTTGAAAGATCGTTTTCTTTAAATATATATATATATGTGTATGTGTGTGTATGTGTATATATTATATATTCATATGTATATACTATGTATATTTCAACAAAACACTGACGAAGATAGTTTCTTCGCAGATCGATAAATTTTCATTTCTGATTAATCTGATTCAGATTATATCGACAAAGTATTGTCTAATTTTGATTTTTGGGACATTCCATCGTTGTCAGTGAGAATTATCGGTTTTGTTTGTATTGCATCTTCCGGTTTCGAGGTGTCTTGTGTCTATTGAACGTGACGAATGCGGGGAGAAAAAAGAGTGTCATCGATTGAATATCCACAAAGATATCAAAAGTGATCACTTTAACATTAACGTTTATTTTAATTGGTAAATATTTTATGTTATACGTATACTTCGTGTCATTATAGAGTATTGGTTGAATATGAAAAATCGATTTCGGATTCGGACAACTGATCTCACGGGAACGAAAAGTAATCCAAACACTTCCCCATATTTAGATTACCATATCGTTCTTCCGTGTTTCTACAATGTCTGTGACATTTCAGGAAATATAGCTTGCTTGAACTTCGATAATTCAGTGAATAAAATCCACAAGCAGAAAGGATTCTAATCAATATTTACTCGTTAATAAGAAATACAGTATTCTTTTTTTGTTCAAATTGATCGATAATAACGAGTAATTTTTTCGATTTTATGTTCACTGTATCTTTAAGTTTCAAGCTGCTTATATAATTGTTTAGTATAAATTTATAATTCTAAAAATGATATCTTTTAAAGGAATAAAGATTGATTGGAATATGTTTAAATAATTGGCTTGATAAATTCAGATGAATCGATGATTCGATAAACTTGAATTCATCGTAATCGTAAATATAGGAGAATTCGAAGGAAGAAGAGAATATAACGAGAAAAGAAGGACGAAGATACACAATTAATCTTAGGTATTTACATCGTTAGTGATAGGATTATGAAATAGATCAAAACTGTTTCAGTTTATATAATATGAAACTTTTGCTGGATCAAAGGCATAATGAAGGGAGAAAATTTTCCACCTCTTTATAATAAGAAATTTTATAAAAATGAGCGAGTGTCTTTGATTGATAAAGACGAGGCACTCTGCTTCTTCGTTAATTTTCATTGTGCTTCATATCATAAAAGGGTGGAGAGAAACTAACAACTCGAAAAAGCATTTTAATTGATATATACTCTAAATCTTGTTAAATTACCTTATAAATTCTTACAAGCGAACGATTACTTTCCACAAAGCTGAATAATATATAAATCGAAGATATTTTCAATGGACACTTGTTAAGATACAAAGAACGTAATATCGAGTACTTAATTAAAGTATGGAACACCAGAAGGGACGTTCTATCCGAAAACGGAAACCTTCCCCAAATTTCGTTTGCAGATCAGATCGATCCCTCCTTATTATTCTCTTAAACTTTTATTTGAATGAATATTTGTTCACCTTCCATTTATAAAAATGCATCTTTTTCATCAATTTACTTATTTTTGGTTTTTTTTTTAATATTTTTATATATATTTATTCTTTATTTTTTTTTTTTAATTTTTTATTTCACTTTTAATCTTCCATCGACATCACACACGCTTTTCACGCAATTCAATTATCATTTGACAATCGTACAACAGTCATCATTATGATTGTTAAATGTTCCATTCTATAAGATAATATTAATCATTAAAAAGTTTTTCTAAATTATATAATTTTACAACGAGAATGTTATACAAGTGGATTCATTATGGGTGCAGAAGATAGAATACATTAGGTGCGGGACAATAATAACTAAGCGAATCGCTTACACGATATTAATATCCATATTTTTGGTAAATATTTTTGGTAAATTTTTAAGGAATAATAATATAATATTATTATTACTACTAATAATAATAACAACAATAATATAATAATGATGATAGCAAGAAAATTTTTTTAGCTGTATGTTGCATATAGATCACAGAGTGAATATAGTCACTAGGCATTCGAAAAAATAATCTACAAATAGTGCAAATAGTGCCAAGCCTAGTATCACGTATATATATATATATATAATTTTTTTTATATTAATATATATATATATATTTAATTATTTAATCTCATTTTTCCTTTATTTAAACGCTATGTATGCGAGAGCACAGGCACTAAATTGCTGAGATATAATCATACCAGACTATCGATGATTCTCATTTACTTATTCAGAAAAAAAAGATGATTCTAATGTGTACGTAAATATATCGATTTATATGTTCTTATGTATAAAGTATATTTTCATAGATCGATATTAGTTTTCTATAACGAGGTCTTGTGCAATTAATAATAAAGTAATATAGTCGTACAAACGTGTACAATCCGTTTGGTCGTATTTTATTTAAGTTAAATTTCTCAAGATGATTTTATTTTCTTTTTTTCACTCTTCTTATTTCTTATAATAAGTTCTTCTGTAACAATTCACGCGACTAATTAGATCGACCTATCGTTCCCACCTTCTCCATTTTTGTAAGTTCTTTAAAAATTTGCGCGATGTATCCTAACCTAACACGTGAACACGTTCTTGCGATTTAGTATTACTTTCGATGAAATTTTTTCCTCAAGCAACGACTAAAGCTTGTTCACAAGGCAGGCGACTAGAATAGAAATTCTATCGAATAAGAAATGTTTGCAAAATTCAAAAGCGCGAGAAAATATCTCTCATGGAATACGAATATTTAGTGAGAAGTGATAAGACTAAGTCAGACGAACAATCGATTACGAATGAACGAATGTAACGTCTATGAATCTCAGTGATTCGATGAAAAATTATATCTAACACGTGTAACGACAGATATATACATTATATATCTTTTACTGTTATATGTAACAAGAATGACGATATCTTAATCTATAGTTTAAAATCTAACGCGAAATAGAGCTCGAAAGTGTGCTTAATTATTACGGCTTAATTGGTTCGCTATACTATATGCAGCGTTATCTTCACGATGTCGGTTCAAACACTTTTCGTCTGGTCCCATTCGTGTTGGCTTCTCGAAAAGAAAATCCCAGAAAACACTGTGTGTTTTTTTGGTACGATTTATCAATATTTCGTCGATACCACGCTGGGAATATATATTCGCAGGAAGGACCTGCTAGGAAGATCTCTTTTTGATAATAATTGTGTTTGCATCAGACACACTTCCTTGATTCCTTCTTGCAATAATAACGCATATCAATTTTATATAAGATAGCAAATATATATGATAAAGCATAACTATAACATCTGAATTGTATCTTTTAACTCTAGATTTTAATTTAAGAAATTAATTGTTATGGATGATTCCTATCCAAAACATTAAAATTATTGTTGATTGACTTTTTTTTTATTTCATACATATAAATTATTATTTACATGTGCAAAATACTCTCAATCTTTGATGCCCAGTGGAAATGATATTTTTAGATTAAAATTAGAATTGCCAAATTCATTAAAATGATGAGTTTTTTATTTTTGTCATTATTAAAAATGCAGGAATTTTTAATAAAATTAATTATTGATTTTTAATAAAAAAAAAGATGATTATCAGATTATTTTAATAATTAATTTAATTAGTAGAATATAATTAAATTATATTATATTATATATATTTTGAAAATCAATAGCTATAAAATTATTTAATATTATTATTGATAGTGATAGAATCATGTAGAATGTAAAACAGAATCACTTTGATTCATATATAGTTTGAGGTTAAAAATATACAGCGAGATAAAAGATAGAATTCGATGTGAAGATTATCTCTTATGGAGGAGGCGATTTGGATAATCCTTAATTGATTGTTGATCCGCGATTGTTAATGGATCGCCGTTTGGCTAATTCGTTTAAAACGATTGTTCGCATATATATATTTATGTAGAAAGATCGATCAACGCGTCGAGTTCATTGATTCGACAATGTTATTTATAAAATACGAAATCGTTTCTATTAGCTATAGAGTGATATAGCTTGAAGCGATGATCTTTAATGAAAGTGATCATATTAATGGCGAAACGTACATTGTCGTTTGGTCCAAACATCGTGAAAACATGGCGAATCGATGTAAAGTTTTGCGTTTGTTGAATAAATAACGAAAAAACAAAAACTTTGCATCGTTTTTGCTATGTTTCGTTTCCAAATTTCATTCACCTGTCTGCAATGTTAATCAATGTCAAACGAATACATGCAAAGTTTTGTACCATGATAAACGATTCATGAGACATAACTTTCTTTTCTTTTACTTTTAGAAGAGTTTATACTTCTTTTTCAATTTTTCCTTTTTTTTTTTTTTTTTTTAGTTACAAGCAAACTTAAACAATTCATGATAAATTTAATTTCGAGATTCCTTTCACAATATTTTTTAAAATATTAGTAGTAGATTTTTCGATATAAAGTGATTATCTATTTTTTTTTTGTGTAAAATATTTCGAATATTAGATTCTTTTCGTGACATAAAATATGTTTGTTTGATTTTAATATCAATATCGCGAATATATCCGTTAATTCTTTATCGAATTTAACATCTTTTAAACATAAAAATTAAACAGTGATTATCTTACAATCAGTACGAATTATAATATAATTTCTCTTATTTCCTAAAATTCTCAAACTAAGTATTTCTGGCATAATCTATTTTCTTCACATTAAACTTTGATTTATAATCGATAATGATAACAAATGGCCGGATAAGTTATATGTAAACGCATGTCAATCAGAAAAATTCTTTGTACCAAAGTAGTAGACGTAAGACGAGCGAATCTTTTCGAATAAAAAAGAGAAAAGGGATTTATGTGAATAGAAATTTGTACATTCTGAAAAAGAGATTGCGTAAAGTTGCTTTGAAGACGTCTAGACGATTCTTTCTTTAGGGCGACTTCACAACCGTCATTGGAAAGAGAAAGGCGTAGCAACGATGGCCGTGGATTTCCAGTGGATCTACGCTTTAGCCTCGAGAATTTCAACGGTGACATTTTCCGAATGAATAGTTTCAGACATGGTATTTGGCTGATTAGGTGGCGATTTGTTCGATTTCGTTGAGACGGCTGACGCATTCCCACTGCTACCGCGACTTCCCCGTCGTGATCCTGTTCGTGACCCTGGTGACAGACATTTTCTTGCTAAAGTATCGCGTGCTTTATCACGACCATATACTTCTGACACGGAAAGCTGAAATACAGTCGAAAGCATGAAGAATCGTGCCGAAAGAATATATAAATTCGATCGGAGCGAATTCTTCGTTGCGATTATGAAAGAGTTACAGCAGCGGTTGTAAATTTTATCGAAGAATACTTTCGAATTAAATTCAATTTGATACACTATTAAAAAAAAAAAGAGAGAGAAAAGAGAGAGAAAGAAAATACACTATAAAAGTAGATAATATTAAACTATGAATTTTTAGGATTTTTTATAAAAAACTTTACGTTTTGTGTTTTCTTTTTTTTCTAATAATTGATATTATTATCTCTTCCAAACGCCACTGTGTGCACATGCATAACAATTGTCTAATTCTACAAGTGCTCGAGAACTTGAAAAGATGTTTGAAATGATACTTGACTCGATCGATTTCACTGTCAATGGATCTTTAGAAATGGGAATGGCTGCAGATTCACATTCACGAACTAAAGCATCCGAACTTACATTGAGATTTTAATTAACCATTTCCAATAAAATAGATCGATAATCTATCTTACCGTATAACCAGGATGCATTTCTCAAATGCGATCTGGTCTCTTGAAAAACTACTTCAGAACTCCGTGCGATAATGGAAATGTACGTATATGTATAAAGTATAAAGAATCGATTCTATTATCGATTCTTGTTACTGTAACTCGTGTATTTTACTATTTTCTAATTCGATTATGTTATACGGAGGAAATAAAAAATTATTTTTCATTCAACGAATTCGTACGCTAATTGTAAAAATTGTAAAAATAATTATTACGAATTATGTTATATTTTTCGATATAAACCGATTGAACGAAATCGAATATCGAACGATAAATTTTCTTATTCCCTCCCAATTTGATCTATTATTTTATTAAATTGTTACTTTTGTAAATCAGTAATCGAATAATGAATTAAACTGTATATAAACTATAGTTTCAAATCGCGATTTCTACGATGGAATCGTCATTATGTGCAAGCAACGATTTTTTACTGTAGCAAGCAACTATAGTTGTGATCCTTGAAAACGCTAGATAAAGGAGACTCTGATCTATCTGTATCTCTGTAGAAACACACTTCTAAGCTCGAAGTTCTGACGTATCCGAAAGAGGGTAAGTAACCTTAATAAGGGTTATGTACAAAATACACATATATAATATACATATACTACGATAACACCGTAAAATTATATAGAAAAATATAATAAAAACTGGTAAGAATACGAAACTTACCCTCTTCGAAGGACGCGTCAATTTGAAAAGTTTTTTACAATAGAGCACCTCATAGGTCCGTAGTATATAATCCGCAGTATATAAGATAATCAAGAACAACGGTCACAGACGGGATCATTAAACAGACTACTGCTATAGATGATCGACTGTAAAGAGAGTCAAGTCTATTAAAAAAAGGAACATAATTATAGAAAGTTGAGATGCATCGTTTTATTGCGATACGTTTTTAAGGTTAATTTTACTGTTATTTGATCTTTAATAACAATTTCTTAAACCTTTTGACCATATTTTAAATTAAAAGTATGATTGAATAAAATTTTTAGAATCGGAGATTAATAAGAATTATCATTTAAGATTACTAATTATTTTGAATAATTGTGAATAAACAGCTAAAAGATTATTGATAGGTTATAAATTATATTTTTTGTTCATTTTCACATTTGAGTTTCATTTCGTTACGAGTTTTGATGAAATTCATTTAATTATTGTCCCATATTTTCATAAAATTAAAGTAGAATGAAATATTTTAATTATGAAATGAATAAAAAAATATGATTTTTATTGACGTATGATATCGACGAAAAAAAAATTTCTAGAAGTGGTTTTCAACATAATTGTTGAAAATGATGCATTTAAAATATAATACATCGACCTCGATGCACTCTCAAATTAAAAGTAACCAGCAAATATCTATCCTCTTGGCAGGCAATTGCATGCGAGAATATCTGAAAGATTCTGAACTTAATAGAAGAATTCTAAAATACAGAGTAGAATAGGCAAAAGTAGGTAATTACCTACTTTACGATATTTATATCTATATAAATATATGGGATGTTCTACGGAAATCGATATACTGGAAAATAGCTATTTTTAATGCTAACTGATTAGCTCCTGGAACATTCCAACCTTCTCGTTATTTTGTAGCTATAATTTACAAAATTGGATAATTTATCATTGGAACAGTGTTCTTGAAAAAGAATTAGGACCAAAACGATTTCTATTTTTTTTATTCTTGGCTGTATGATTAAAAACAAAAATAGAGATTGTATGTAGCGAGTTATAATATTGGATTAAAAAAGAATTTAAAAAAGAAGAAAAAATTATGAAACTTTTCGTTTATAACGATATGAGGAAAAAGAGGAAAAAGAGGAAAACAATGATAATATTTTGTACTCTACACACACCTGACATAATCGTTGCATTTTTTAGAACATATACAGTCTGTTCATAAATTACGTACGAAATGATTGCTAAACAACTGGTTCTACACGTATTTCCCGAACAGATGTTTACCTTGAATATTTCACGCAACACACATGCGAGTACGCCAACTATAGTCGCAGACCATGTATAAAACACGATTGCTCGACAATGGGAAATAGGAGAATATTTACCCGATCTTTTCAACCTGCAATAACCTATAATCTGAAACTATCGTTGAATAAAATAAAAAAAAATAGAAACAGAAAAAGAAAAGAAATAGATCAACGACAAAAAAAGTAGAAAAAACTCGTGTTTTCCATTGTATACTTTTCCTTTGTCTTATTTTTTTTTTCTATCTATTTTTTTTCTACTCCTACGGGAGATGTCTCGATTTCCATCGAACACCCGATATAAACTGGCGCGTAAAAGTCGCTTGCTTTGTTTCAACGGGACACTGTATAACAAGTTGCTTGCTTAGTAAGTGAATGAATAAAAACCCGTACGGCTCACTCTGTGCTGTGAGTGCTGAGAGTGTTTCGCACCTTGCGAGGCATTCGGCGAATGGGCACGTAAGGAGGCCATCGAGGGTTGCCTCGAAGGAACTCGTACGCTTGCCCTTGAACCGCGTCTTTCCTGCGGATGCAGGAGCTTATTCTCTCTTAGTAACGATACGTTCATTAGACGGGCGTTCGGGGTGTTAAAAATTGTACGATTTTCGCGCCAACGAGCTCTGAAACAGATTGAATAAAAATCGTAAAATTGTGTTAAAACTTATTGTTGAAAATTTATTAATCTGATTTATGTATTTATTAATTATAATTTAATATATAATCTTGACAGAATGAACAATAAAGTTTTTTATATATGAAATAAAACAAATAAAACAAATATCTAATATACGAGTATTGAATGATGCATGTAATAATAATGACTCTTAAAATAAATTTAATTAAAATTTATTCAAATTTAAATATTTATGATAGTATAAAAATTTTTATGCTCGCGTCTATTATATAGTTTTTTAATACAATACATTTTTAAAAAGAGTTTCTTTATAAAATAAAAGATATCTCATGTTTGAATAATGTTTGATAATGTAGTTACTTCAAGATCCAGATTTTTGTATTCTTTTGAATTTGTATGAGTTTGTCAAGAGTGCAGAGAATAAAAAAGCATTAAATTTGCATTAGGCATACGACATCAACGGTCCATTTTCACATTTCCTGCCAAGTAGAAGTAGGTTATAAACTCTCGTTATGAGAATTGCTAGAGAAGAGAATCACCGTACAAAATATGCAAATAGATGGCTTACTTGCTGAAAAGCCTAAGAACGACGCAGATGATGATGAACATGAGGGCCATACCAACGAGAACACCAATCATCGTCGGATCGATATATTGAAGATTGGGTTCTTCTTTTTGCTCAGCTGAAAACATATATTTCATTTGCTTAATAATTCTTTCAAAAGTCTCTTTTTTTTTTTATATTATTATATTTGTAGTTAATTTTCGTTTAATATTTTCCATTTTTATCAAAGACGTTTCATCAAAAAAAAAATTTATTTCAAAAGATAACTTTGAAGAGGAAAATATATAATTACAATAATATTCGAATACTTTAACCTTTTTGTGACTAATAAAAGTTATTTTTTAAAAGCATGTGTCTTGATTGAGATAAATTAAACTTGACTTTTGTGCTTTAATTCCTATATCGTTCATTCTAACAATCAATGATAAAAATTTTCATTAATAATAATAATTAATACCATTTTTTATAGTGAAATAAGTGATTATAGATTAGATTTATAATTAAGAATTGAAATGTTTTAATAAATAATAAATATTTTTATACAATATAATACAACATAATGAATCCTATTTTTTATCCAATGAATACGTTCTATGACTATTAAGAATTTTATCCAATTCTATTATCTCTTGTATATAATCTTCATATTATCTCTTGTATTCAAAACCATAATTTAATTCTTATTCTATTGTCACAATTTCTGTTCTTATTTTTATTCTAATAATATAATATATATCTTTCATCTTCAATTCTTTGTAATAAATAATAAATAATAAAATGATAAACTCAACTAATCTTGATAATTTCTTTTTTATCAGATACATATGATTTTTTACACGTATGCACATCTTTAATATATATTTATTAAAACAAAATAACCTACGTATATATTTATTAAAACAAAATAAATTCATATTATCTTTTAACCCAAATTAATCTCACCCGCTGACAAAAGCGAAAGAGCTTTTTCAACATGATGAAATTGCACACACGTGTCACCCATTTAATTCAATTTACAATTGCTAAGGTTGAAAATAAAAGTGTGCAAAATATCAAAGTGGCGTGCTTTTAATTTCTACCGCACCGGAAACGGAGAATTCGCCATTTCGTTATTCCGTTTCGCGTTTGTTAATTGATCGCGTTAGAACAGTTGACGAATTAATGAACTTCGTAAAATTTTAAGCCGGAATTCCATTAACACGTTGCTTTTCGTTGCGAATGAAATTTCATTAAAAAGTTTGAAGAAACTTGCGCAGCCTCCCTTTTGTTTCATCTTTTCTTCCATTTCTTACCGACACACACAATCATGCCGTCAGGCTGCGTAACCGGGATCTTCTCGAAGATGCAAATGCAACGATTGTCCCTGCATTCGGTTTGACTCACTCTCGCTTCACATTGCTCATGGAAAAAGCATGACTCGTTCACGTTCACCGCTGAAAAACACAAACCATTAACGACAGCTTCGCTTCCTCGTACCATTCTTGTCGACAAATATTTCACGAAATGTTATTTTTATATAAACCTTTCTCTTTTAAAAGTTCATTATTGATTTCTATAATTTCGAAGAATTCAAAGGATTCATTGTATGTATTTTATTAAATATTGCTAAATGTTAAGGAAATGACGAAGAATAAACAAACAACAAAGAGAAATAGCTGATTTTTAATAGTTAATTACTTTCGCATCCTTTGATATTAAAATTGTCAAGATATTTTTTTCTATGATTTGACGAGATTTCTTTGACAAAAATGAGTATCTAGATACAAATCCCTGAGCCTTTTATATTGATTTAATAAATTTTAAAAGTTAATACGTTTTATAGATTTTTTTATTATTTTTGAACAATGTAAGCGATCCATGAATGATCTAAAAAATTTCAATTTCTTTTTTAGTTAATTATTTTCAATTAAATCGCTTTTTTTATTATAATATTAATTTCATCTCATCAAGGAACTTAAGTTCGAAAAATGAGAAATTTAGAGTAATTAATATAATATAATAATATTTTTTTATTATTTTAATTTGAAAAAAGCAGATTATAGTAAAAAATCAATTTGTTAATATAACTTATGTTTTTATTTATTTATGAGTTATTATATTCAAAATCCTTTATCGAAAAATGAAGTTTTGTATAATAAAATTTGTACAACTACTATTTTTTATGGATTTTTTTTATTCTTAAATTCATATTATTTATATATGAAAATTATCTGTATTATTATTATACAAATTTATTATATTGTTATATTTGTTTTCGCAATTTCGATCTTTTTTAAATTCAATAAAAATTGTTATAATTAGTCGGACTTTAATTAAGATTCTATTCTAATTTCTACTGATATTTATAATACATATCGATATATATATGTACAAAATTATAAATTTGATGAGAGTAAGGTATATTTCTCTATATTTTCTTTTTCGTTTCCAATTCTTTCATAATATCATATCATGTAAAAATTTTCCTTATTGGCGTAATATGTAACATGTAACATGTATCTCGACCTCGAATGGCATTCACATATATCTAATCTCTTGACAACTAAAAGGCGATTATTATTTGAAACATTATCGATCTGTCAATCAAACATCACATATGATGACCTGATACCCTATTATTATTTCTAATCCGTCTGTCGTTATAAGGTCAGTTCCATTTTATAAAATTATTATCCAATTTGAATATTCATGTTCGCGATTGGTCTGTTACAGTGTTAGAAATCAATATATATAGTCATCATTCATCAATGTAAGAAGGAATTATTTCCCTAGTTAGCGTGCTTGCGGATGATAGTGTATATCTAGAGGTTAATGTGGTGAATCTGATCTACTGATTATGTGCCGCACTGTCCTCGATATATCGACCACAGGCTCGCAATTAGGAAGCTTAACATTGATTGAATTTTAATCTTAAACGTAGCAATATATATTTTCATTTATCTCTCTTTTTTTTTGAACTATTGTTGTATTTTTATATTTGTTATATCTATATTTGAATTTGGTAAAAAATTAATTTAATCTAAAAAAGAAAATGTGAAATGCGAATGTGATCATATCGAATGGTGGTTTTAATAATAGAAATTTTTTAATGTTGTCACTTGTTATGCTGGTAAGCATCAGTAAGTTTCAATTTCAAATCTTTTTTGATTTAAAAGACAAGAAGACAAATGATTTTGTTTTTGTAAAGAACATATTTTATCATTGTGCCAATATTAAAACTTAAAAAATATTTTGTTTTTAATATCCTTTTATTAATATTTACACAATTATATTTATCAATTATTTGAAATTAATATTTATTATTATTATTATTATTATTATTATTATTATTAATTGGAATTTCTTCGTGAATATTTGATGATTATAATGTTCGATTACGATTTGAGGAAAAATTTTCAATAAATGTGTATAAAATAAAAATTAAAAAAAGTAGTTCAACCGATAAATATCGTAACATTTGCAAATTTAATTGAATTAAAAAACGAGTGTAAAATAATATAATCTGGACCAGTAAATTCATGCTTTCGTTCTTGCTTTTAATTTCTCGCGATGCTTCTAATGCCAGAGACCAATAAAATCGCGTTCCTCGCGTTTAGATTCCACGGAAGAAAGTCATAAACAACCATCCTTAAGCATTCATGCCATTCCAATCGTAAAACTTGATCTTATTAAACAGAAAAATTTCATTCCCTATACGTGACTTGAGCAACTTATTTTTTTTCTGTATTTTATAAACTATCTTTGTCAATATTTTATTTTATGATAATAATAATAATAATAATTAATATAATTTTATATCATTAATATTGTAATATTTTATTTCATAACATAATATTTTTCGTTTTTCGTTTTTAATTATTAATTAATGTCATTAATGATTTTAAAAAATTTTATTCGATAATTTAATTGAATCATTTTATGATATTTCGCTCCTTAATAGAATAAAATTACAGGATTTAATTAATTAAAATTAAGCAATTCAGATTCAAAGAAATATAGAAAATAATGAATCTATTATAATCAAAATTTTTTTAATGTCAGACATAGAAAATATTTATGTTATATATTTTAATGATAATTGTTGATGAGATTATGATCTGTTTGGGCTAGAATGTTTAGTAAATGAATTAAAATCTATAAATTTGTAAAAATGGCTTTCATTATCGTCAGATTTATGTCTCAAATGGATTTTTTTTATTTATAATTTTTTTCGATTTATAATTTTTCTTTAAATAAGCTTTCGATTTTATCAATCAAAGATAAGAAAAGCATATTAGAACAATATTGGCAGAAAGAATGTAATCTGGAATGCATAAATGCAGTCTTATTAATGATGGCATTTCAAACACGATATGTGATTACATTGATAAATATAATATTACGAGATATTCTTTCATTTATTTTATTCTTTTCTGAGCTTGTCTGATCTTAAAGACTAAAACATGATATATGTTTAAGTTCATCTTGATATACATTTTTATGTGATATTTCATTTAAAAAACTAGATCACTTTCATTTTTCGAATAATATTACGAATATAAAAAATTTGCATATATTATCATATTCATCATAAGAAACATTACGAACTTCTTTTGTTATTTTTTTCAAAAATTGATCATTTTCGAAAAAATGAACATTGATCTAATACAATCCACGAATTTATATTTAATCTTGTATTATGATTTGTAATGAATTATCTATAAAGTATCTTTTTATTGCAATATATATTTTTCTATGTTGACAAAATAATAAGTTACTAACTATGCTTTTAATTTCAAATCGATCCTTAAATTGATTTATTCAAACAATTATGTATCAATCATTTATAATATTAAATAAGAATTGATATTATCGAAGTCGAACAAAGATTGACACTTACGAAGTAATGTTGGCGCGCTTGAAAATATACTAACTTACGGTGTCCACATTTGTCGATATGATTCGTCGCCTCGAATTCCTCCCTGCACGAACATTTGTTCTTTTTTGGCTCGCAATAAGAGCCAGAGAAACTGCATTCACGATCTTCCACGCAATCATCGCCAAACTTCTTCGTCCCTCTGTCGGTTAAGTCTGCAAAAAGATTTAATGAAATATTTAAAATTTAATTCTCTTAAACTGATATTAGTAGTAAGAACATAGAAGATTGTTCCTTCAACAAAATAAAATTTCTATTCAATTCATATTGTTTTTACAATTAATTTGCTTATAAAATAATTATTGTGCATTACTAAATAAAAAAACAATAAAATAAATTGGAAAAAAAATGTTTGTTTTCTTTTTTCTTTAAAAAAAAAAGGGAATATTTAATATGCTTAATAATCTTTTATTTACATAACAGAAAGATAACAGAAATTAAATTTTAAAAAACAAATTAATTACTTAATAATCAAGTTTTAAATTGATTTATTAAAATAATAGCTTGAATCAATTATCTTATAAACTGTTTTTTTTTATTTTAATATATTATTCTACAAAATTATTTTATATAAATATTTAATTTACATGTCAAAAAGAATTATATATTAATTTTTAATGAGCAGAAGAATAAATCTCTTCAAAGATATCTAGAAGAAATTTCGAGATATCAAGATTTTTTAAAAAATATTAATTATAAAAATATTGATTCTACGATCCTACGAAGAAATCATATGAAAATATTTCGTTATTGTTACTAATCAAAGTCAAAATCAAAATCCTGAATTAAATACATGATATATTTTAATATTTTAATATTTTAGTATATACTTTAATATATTCTGGAACCACTTTTCATTATTTTTCGAAGTTAAATATTTTTAATAAACTTTTTACTGTATAAATTTCTATTACTAATAAGAAAAATTTGAAACTAGAAAAACTATGAGACATTAGAAGTTTACCATTTCTTAAAAAATTTCTTACAGAATATCTTGCAGAATCTAAATTTAAAAAAATTTATTCGACTTTAGATAAATGTATTGAAAATCATAAAAGTCAATTTGAAAAACAATAATTTTTTCATTTATATTATTTTAATACTATATATTTTGTCTTCAAATATTATGTAAATAATAAAGAAATAATACAAAATAGTATTAAAAAAAACAATTCACTATATATCATTATTTCGCGCAATAAAAACTTATAATTTATTTTAATTATTCAGATTGTTATTAACAAACATATAAAAAATATATTATAATATATTATAATATAAATATATTATTTTTATATACTATATGGTTTTTAATAATTTTTTAATGTGTACAAATAAAATAACTTTATTTTATATCCTCAGAAATATTTAACTTCAAATGTTTTTCTTAAAATTAATTTTTGTTATTGAAACATATATATATATACAAAACTGTGTCACGATTTCATTTTATTCTCATAAAATATAATTACATTAATTAATTAATTAATTAATTAATTAATATTCTAAAATATCCAATTTCTTTCTTTCAAAAGGATAGAAAAATTAAATATGTTAAAAAAGAATTGGCAAATTGTACATATCGTAAAATTTAATTTTTTGGGCCAATATCTCATCTCTTTTGAAGTAACATAACAATTTACAAAATAGAAAGTATTTAAAAGTTAAAATAGCAACAAGAAATTTCTACATATGAATAATTTAACCAATGTGTAATCAATTATTGAATTTCTATCGATAAATCACTTTCGAAACCAATGACGGATATAGATTCCACAATCGAACCGTAGCAGCCGGTTCTAAGCAAATATATCATCCGCAGTGTTTCCTACCCCCTATCAAGCATGACGAAATGTTTTGGTCTGATTTTCGTGATTGTGCTGCAAGTACCGTGTATATTTACATTTTACGATTTCCATTCGTTAATATTTGCAATTAGACGCGAAGTTAATTTCTTCGACATGCGACAATTTGTTAATTACGAACAAATACACGTGAAAAAAGTTATTTTATGTTATCCCCTCTATGTATATTATGTTCAATAAATTGAAAACCGTCGAATTTTCTTGAATTATACATGTTGTATAAATAAAATTAATTCAATTAAGAGGAAACTAAAATAATTAGAAAGTATTTATTATTATTTTTATTAGAAAGTTTTAGATTTTCATTATTAGAAAGTATTAGAAATTAATTGAAATTTTTATATTTATTTCGTAGTTAAATTATATCAAATGTTATACATGTAAATTTTTAAATAAATATTTGTTAATTCGAAATTTTTCTGTATTTATAAAATTCATTTATTATTTCTTTTTTATTTTTTTTAAATATACGTATAATAAATATATCTTATATTCTCTTATATATAAAATTTATTATAAATTATTCTGATTTCATTATTTATCGTATATTTGTCAAAAAATGTTTAATAATAATATTTTTAAATATTTCTTTTTTTTTCCCTTAGATTATTGTGAAATATTAAATGTAAAAGAAGTTTGAAAAAAAATTTTACAGTTTTTTTTTCTAAAGTTTTAAGTTTACAGGTTATTAACAATTACTTAGTATTAAATTGAAATTTGTCTTTTAATGTTTTTAATACTTTTCTAAGTATATTATTGAAGTGAATTGTTACTATTTAATATTTTTTTTTTATATTGAATAGATTTTAAAAGATATATTTAGTTGATATATTTATATTAGATTGATTTCACTGTAGAATATCACATAATATCAGGCTATGAATTAATTTCATATATCAATGATTAGTACTATTTGGAGGATAAAATTTTTTCATAGATGTTATTTTTTCGATGAGAATTTTTGGAAATTTTTTTTACATAAGTTTTTGAATAAACGATGAAAATTTGATAAATTATAGAAATTCGTTGAATATAAAATTTAATTGCATTATTTTGGATTGGAAGTTTTGAATAATTTCAAGAAAAAAGAAAAATATAATAATTTAATCATTTTTAAGAAATTATATATTCTTTTTTTGAAATAATTAATAACCTCATACAAATTTTATGTAATTAAATTTTATAATATAAGTATAAATATTTTATTTCATTACATTGAATTGAAAAATGTAAACGCGAAAAATAAAATCGAAAAAATGTAAAATCGAAAAAGAAATAACGCATTCTACGTACATATAAAAAAATTATATCGACCCAATTAACCCTACTTGAAACAAGAATCGAATTACGATATTTCACTCATGACGTGTTCCAATTAAAGATAATTAATCCATAGACACTAGCGACATAAATTACTATTACAATATCAAAACTTCCGGTAAAAACTATCGATATAATGCTATCAATATCTTCGAAAAAAGCAATTCGTTTCATCAATGATCCCCGTCATTCTCCATCTAAATTCAGTCAATTAATACTCGTGAATACGTAGAAAAAGCTGGAGAATTGGAAGATTGGTGTACTTGGATCTCTCTCTGTGCAATTAATGCTTTTCTTCAAGTGTTCTTTTCTTCGAAGTTCAACAGATGTAGAGGCGTTCAAGAATTCGAGGGTAACGCCACGAAGACGTTGATACCCGTAGGCAAAGTCAAGGAAGGAATCCTTTTTTGCAAGGCAAAGAGACCAAGCTTGATTACTGCATTGTCATCGTATAATAGCACTTCGGGTAAATACGATCGTATTCAATGGGTTGAGAAATACTTGGTGATCACAATTTATAGAAATGTACGATAAAGAATCGAATGAGTTGTAAAAATACCCGACTTTCGTGTAACTCATTTGTTAGCAATTGGGAAATCAGTTTAGAACGAAGTATGAAAAAATAAATAAAATGAATTTATGATTTTATTCTTTGGAAAAAATTGAAAATAATAGTGCAATTATTGCAAAAATGTGGAATAAAATATAAGATCATTTTTTATAATGCTCGTAATTTACATGAATAAAATATATATTTTATAATTTATATGATATAATGAATAAAAGTTGCCTTCATAAGATCACAGCATTAAAGTTAATAAAATATAGATTGAACTTTCGAATGAAAAAAAGATACAATTGTATTGAATAAAATTTACAGTAATCAAAATATTGTATTATATATAAATTGTATATATACACATACACACATATGTATATATATATATATACATTTTGTATTACATCTTAAAATATCTAATTATAAATAATTTTTTTGTGAAACTTTTATTATGATTTAAATTTGAACTTAATCTACACAAATAGAATAAAAAAAAAATGTACGAATTATAAAATAATTTAAATTAAAAATAAGTTTTCAAGAAATTTATAATGAAAAATATTTGTATAGATTTGTAATCTATATTATACAGTTTATAACACTTTCAGTGTTATAAAGAAATCGATAAATCGCTCAATTCACCCATAAATATTGTCAAAGGAAAAGTTAAAAAGAAAAAGATATTCTTTAGTATAAATAATATTCTTTGGTATAAAATAAATTGGTATTTTTTTCGGTTTCTTTTGTTAGAACAGAATGTATCCAGAAACGATTTTTCCGTGATACGTTCAAGTACCTATGTGGTCATGAAAAGAGAATTTCGTTTAGGATTTAAGATGCGGGACAATAGAAACTCACTATTTCGCTTTCTTTAAAGGATGGCCATATTGTATGATGGCGCAAAGATGTACAAGCGTACCTATATTATAGAAAATCTAATAATCATATTATAGAAAATTTAATAAGCTTGAAATGAAATTGCCAGATTCTATAATACATACATACATATAATAATTACAGAGAATATTTTTGCTGGTCATAAGTCTTAAAATGATTTTTTAACCTTACTTGAATATCATTTAAAAAGTTTGGTTTTCTTTTTTTTAACTTTTTTAACTTCCTCTTTCTTTTTTTTCTTCTAATATCTTTTTTCTATATTATATATATATTTTTATATAAAATTAGATAAATTTTCAATTAAATTAAATTAAATAAATAATTTTTTTGAATGTTAATCATATTGAATTTATATTTCTTATGACTATTATTAGTATAAATTTTTTTATATTTTTATAAATATTCTTTGAATTATTCCTTTGAATAATTAATAAAAAAATTAATAAAACTTTTAATTCGATAAAAAAAAATTCTTTTAAAGACTCTATTTATTCTACACATAGAGAATACGATT